TCCCATTTCCATAAATCCCATCCCTTCTTTTCTCCATAAATCCCATCCCTTTCTTTCTCCATGAATCCCATCCCTTCCCATCTCCATAAATCCCATCCCTTCCTTTCTCCATAAATCCCATCCCTTCCCATCTCCACAAATCCCATCCCTTCCCTTCTCCATAAATCCCATCCCTTCCCATCTCCACAAATCCCATCCCTTCCCATCTCCATAAATCCCATCCCTTCCCGTCTCCATAAATCCCATCCCTTCCCATTTCCATAAATCCCATCCCTTCCTTTCTCCATAAATCCCATCCCTTTCTTTCTCCATAAATCCCATCCCTTTCTTTCTCCACAAATCCCATCCCTTTCTTTCTCCACAAATCCCATCCCTTCTTTTCTCCATAAATCCCATCCCTTTCTTTCTCCATGAATCCCATCCCTTCCCATCTCCATAAATCCCATCCCTTCCCATCTCCATAAATCCCATCCCTTCCCATCTCCATAAATCCCATCCCTTTCCATCTCCATAAATCCCTTCCCTTCCCGTCTCCCGACAGCCCAACGCGCTCCGGGCGGTCACCCCGGGGGCCGTGGAGGTGCTGCTGGGGGTGCTCCAGCGGGGTGGGAATGCCCCTGGAATGCTGGAGGCCACGCTGCGCTCCCTGGTGTCCGTGGTCCACGTCCTGCACGGCTCCAGCCCCGGCTCCGGCCCCGTGTCCCTGCGGCTCCTCCTGGACGGATATTTCAGGGTCCTCAACTCCCACCTCCCCGCGACACCGGAGGCGACCGGGGGCCTCCTGGACCTGCGGGTGCTCATGCTGGGTAGGTGCTTTGGGATGGGGTTTGGGATGTGGGATGGGGCTGTTCCGTGGTCCCCATCGGCCTGTGGGTGCTCATGCTGGGTAGGTGGTTTGGGATGGGGTTTGGGATGTGGGATGTGGGATGTGGATGGGGCTGATCTGTAGTCCCCATCGGCTTGTGGGTGCTCATGCTGGGTAGGTGGCTTGGGATGGGGTTTGGGATGTGGGGTGTGGATGGGGCTGATCCATGCTCCCCATCAGCCTGTGGGTGCTCATGCTGGGTAGGCACTTTAGGACAGGGTTTGGGATGTGGGGTGTGGGATGGAGCTGATCCATACTCTCCATTGGCTTGTGGTGCTCATGCTGAGTAGGCAATTTGGGATGGGGTTTGGGATGTGGATGGGGCTGATCCATGCTCCTCTTCGGTTTGTGGGTGCTCATGCTGGGTAGGTGCTTTGGGATGTGGGATGGGACTGATCCATGCTCCCCATCTGCCTGCGGGTGCTCATGCTGGGTAGGTGCTTTGGGATGTGGGATGGGACTGATCCATGCTCCCCATTGGCCTGCAGGTGCTCATGCTGGGTAGGTGGTTTGGGATGGGGTTTGGGATGTGGGATGTGGATGGGGCTGATCTGTGCTCTCCATTGGTTTGTGGATGCTCATGCTGGGTAGGCACTTTGGGATGGGGTTTGGGATGTGGGATATGGGATGTGGATGGGGATGATCCCTGCTCCCCTCCGCGCAGACGCCATCCCGGCCATGCTGAGCTGCGAGGACCGGCCGGTGCTCCAGGCCACCTTCCTGAGCAACAACTGCTTCGAGCACATCATCCGCCTGCTCCAGAACAGCACGGTACGGGATGACTCTGGGATGGCCTCCGGCCTCGGCTCCAGCCTCGCCCTTCCTGGCTCTGAGTCATCCTGGGACAGGGTGGGATGTCCTTGGTGACGCCAGGGTTGGGCCCCTTCACCGCCATCCGCACCCTTCCTGGTTCTAAATGATCCTGGGACAGGGTGGGATGTGTCCCCGTTCCTGGTGACACCAGTGTTGGGCAACTTCATCTCCATCCTTTCCTGGTTCTAAATGATCCTGG